GTTGAGGTAAAGTGTTGGGTTGTTTGTTTGAAGTCTTTCTATTCTTTTGATGTAACCATTTACTGCAATAAACTTCCCTCTTAGTACTGCTTTTGCAGCATCCCACAGGTTTTGGTATGGTGTGTCTTTATTTTCATTAGTTTCAAGAAATTTTTTGAATTTTTTTGATTTCCTGTTTAATTTCTTCTTGGACCCATAAGTCACTCAGGAGCCTGTTGTTTAATTTCCACATATTTGTACAGTTTCCAGAGTTTTGCTTGTTATTGGCTTTCAGCTTTAATCCATTGTGGTCTGAAAAGATATTTGAAATGATTAATTTTTTTAAATTTGCTGACTTGATTTGTGCCCTACGATGTGGTCTATCCTGGAGGATGTTCCATATGCTCATGAGAAGAATGTATATTCTATACTTAGATGAAATGTTCTGTAGATATCTGCCAAGCCCCGTTGGTCTAAGGTAAAGTTTAAATTGGTCTTTCTCTGTTGATTTGCTGCTTACATGATTTGTCCAATGCTGACAGAGGGGTGTTCAGGTTCCCAACTATTATCATATTGGAGTCTATCTCTTTCTTTAAGTCTAATAGTGTTTGCTTTATATATCTGGGTGTTCTGGTGTTGGATGCATACATATTTGTGATTATTATTATGTATCTGTCTTCTTGCTGGATAGATCTCTTTATCATTATATAGTGGCCTTGTCTCTTTTTATGGTTTTTGGTTTAAAGTGTATTTTATCCAATAGAAGAATAGCTACTCCTGCTCATTTTGGGTTTCCACTTGCACGGTATATATTTTTCCATCTTTTCACTCTTAAGTCTGTGTGTGTCTTTACAGGTAAGGTGAATCTCCTGAAGACAGCAAAAAGTTGGGTCTAGCTTTTTAATCTAATCAGTCCGTCTGTGTCTTCTGAATGGGGAGTTTAATCCATTCACACTTGGAGTTGTTATCAAGAGGTATTGTCTTACTCCTGGCATTTTATTGCTTTTTGTTTAGATGTTTTAAATATCTTTTTTTCCTTTCTTCCCCTTTTATTATTCGTCTTCAATGTCTGTTGGTTTTTTGAGGTGGTAAGATTTAGTTTCTTTCTCTTTCTCATTTGCATTTTTGTTTTACCAGTGGGTTTTGTTCTTTCTTGTGTATTCATGATAGTGATTATCATTTTTCAGATTCCAGATGGAGGACTCCCTTGAGAATTTCTCACAGGGCTGGTCATGTGGTGGTAAACTCCTACAGCATTTGTTTGTCTGGAAAATATACTATTTATCCTTCATTTCTGAAGGATAGCTTTGCTGGGTATAGTACTCTTGGCTGGCAGTTCTTTTCTTTTAGTATTTTGAATATATCATCCCACTTTCTTCTGGCCTGTAGAGTTTCAGTTGACCAGTCTGCTGTTAGTCTGATGGGGGCTCCCTTACAGGTGACTTGATGTTTTTCTCTTGCTGCTTTTAAAATTCTCTCTTTATCTTTGAGCTTTACCAGCTTGACTATAATGTGTCTTGGACTGGATCTTTTTGGATTGAATCTGCTTGGGGATCTTTGTGCCTCCTGGATCTGAAGGTCCATGTCTCTCCCTACACCTGGGAGGTTTCTGTTATTATTTCATTGAACAGGTTTTAAATGCCTTTTTCTTTCTCCTCCTCTCTGTAATACCCATGATTTGAATGTTTGTGCACTCAGGGTAGCCTGCTAGCTCTCTTAGGTTTTCTTCATTTTTTTATTCTTTTTTTCCTTTTTCATGTCTACCTGGGATATTTCGAAAAGACTCTTTGAGATCTGAAATTCTTTCTTCTGTTTGCTCTAATCTGCCGCTTAAGCTCTCAGTTGTGTTTTTTATCTCACTGAATATATCCTTCAGTTCCAAGAGTTCTGTTATGTTTTTTTAAGATATTAATCTCTTTGTAAATTTCCTCCTTCATATCCTGTATACTTTTTCTCATTTCATTGTGTTCTCTGAGTCTTCTCTTATCTCTGAGTTTTCTTAAGATCATTGCTCGTAATTCCTTTTCAGTTATTTTAAGGGTTTCCTGCTCTATGTGGTCTGATACTTGGGAATTCCTGTATTCCTTCGGTGGTGTCATATTTTCTCATTTAACTGTGTTTCTAGTATCTCTATGTTGATGTCTGGTTAGCTGGTAGAGCAGCTGATTCTTCTATTACTCTAGAGTGGGCTTTGAGGAGAAAGACTTCCTCCTCTATTTGCAGGCTCTGCTGGTGACTCTCCTTGTGTCAATGCAGTTGAGTTTGTGGCAGGCTGCCTTCAGGATGGCCCTGGCTGCTACTGTGGCAATGAGTCATCCTTCCTGCAGCAGCAGCTGTGGCAGTGACTGTGGTGGACCACCTGCACAGAAATGGCATTTGTGGCATGCTCTTGCCATCTGTTCAGGCAGGGGGAGGCAGCCCAGGGCTTCCACACTTGTCCCCAGTAACAGAACACTCTGGAACCAACATTATTTGCAGCAGAATATTAAAAAGGCCACACCAAGGGCACTGTCAAAAACAAAAGAGATCCCAGTGGTTAATAATCAGGGAAGGCAAATATCTCCACAATACTCCTAGGGTCAAACAAAATATCAGGCCAGCTAGAAATTTAACAGAAATATCCATGGAAACACAGGGCCAAAGAAGCATTGTTTGGGGCTGGCTAGTAGCTCAGTTGCTCAGCTTGTCAGAGCATGGTGCTGATAACACTAAGGTCCATCCCTGTACCAGCTAGCAACCAAAAAAAAAAAAAAAAGAAAGAAGCATTGTTAAAAATCACATTTCTTCCTGGAGGTCAAGAAGATCTTGTCTACATGCACAGCTGTGCCTTCACAGGAGAGACCAGAGGGTGTACTTGGGAGCTACTAGTCCCTGACTGAATTTGAGGCAGACTTTAAACTACCCAAACATTAAAGGCATTTCCCAAGCCACTTACAGATCAAACACCATAGAGTGGAATCCTTTTTGTCTCAAGGGATTTAAGAACAACCCTTGACCAGTCACTGGCTGATCTCTAAGCTATGCTGACACAGAGGTAACCCTTGAGAATCCAGACTTAAAAACGAGAGGAATGACCACTGATGGAGAAACTGCAGGAGAAAACAGACTTTACAGAATTAATCCAAGCAAGTCACTAAACAAATAAACAAGAAAAATAGCAAAATAAGCTTTGGAAGGCAGAGGAAATCAGAATCCACAGTTGCTATAGTGTACTATCTAAAATATCCAATTTTCAACAACAACAAAAAATGTGAGACATTAAAAAAAAAAATTCTGAGCAACAGAAACTGCCTTTGAGAGGCCCCAGATGATGGACAAAGCAAAGACTTCAAAGCAGCTATTATAAATATACAGTACTCAAAGAACTGAAAGAAAATGAAGAATTAAAGGAAAGTATGATGGCAATGACTGCTGAAATAGAGAATATCAATAAAGAGAAGTTTTTTTAAAAAAGAACCAAATGGAAATTCTGAAGATGAAATGTACAATAAGTGAAATGAAAAAGTCACTAGTGGGACTCAATAGTAGAAGAGAGCTGACAGAAAAGAGAATAAGTAAACTTTAAAAGAGATTAATAGAGATTACTCAATCTGAAAAATAAAAAGAAATAAAGAAAAATTAACAGAGCCTCGAAGATCTGTAGGACACATCAAGAATACCAACATACACATAATGGAAGCACCAGAAGGAAAGAAGAGTGAGAATGTGACAGAAATAATATTTGAATAATAGCTGAAAACATTCTAAATTAGATGAAAAATATTAATCTACACATCCAAGAAGGTCAACAAACTCCAAACAGAATAAATACAAAACTGTTGAAAACTAAAGACAAAATCTTGAAAGCAGCAATTAAAATAAAAAAAGATTCACATACAAGAGACACACAATAAGATTAAGACCTCTCACAGGTACAATGGAGGCCAGAAGGCAGTGGGATGTCATACTTGGAGTACTGAAAGAAAAAAAATGCCAACCATGGACTCTAAGAGAATTCTATATCCAGCAAAACTATCCTTCAAAAACAAAGGATAAATTAAGACTTTCTAAGATAAAAACTGAGATAATTCGTTGCTAGCTGATCTCTCTTACAAGAAATACTAAAGGATGTTCTCCAGGATTAAAGAAGTGACACCAGAAAATAATTAAAACCCACATAAAGAAAGGGCATGAGTAAAAATAATTATATACAAATTATTCTTATAAAATAGTACTTATAAAATACAGTATAACTACATAGAGTTTTATCCTGTCTTCTTGATGGACAAAAAGCAACTGCAAGAAGTTTATTATAAAATTGCACTGTTGGACTTATATACAGAGGTACCACGTATGACAGTACAAAGGAGTCAGGAGAGAATGAAGACACATAAAGCATGAAATGGTACCGGTGGCAATTCAAATCGACAGGAAGAAACAAAGAGCACTGAAAATAATACATAAGTTAGTTAATATAAAACGGCTCTATTAATATATTTTTTCTCTTTTCTTTTAGGTTCTTTAAGAGACATAAGACTATATAAAGCAATATCTTTAACACTCTATTGCTGGGTTGATAACATTGATAAAAGTAATATACAAGACAATAATAGCACAAAGCAGGAGAGGAAACGGAGGTATACAGAGTGAAGCTTCTGTATTTTGCTGGAACTAAGTTAGTATTAATCTGAAATATCTGATAATATAATATTAATCTGAAATATTAATACTAACTTAATCAGTCAGCATTAATTTATCAGAGTAAATTAAGACATATATTGTAATCTCTAGAGCAACCACTAAGAAAATACCTTAAAAAATAGTTAAAAAATAATCGTCTGAGTACAAAACAATCCCCAAATGTGCCCACTTCACGTCATCACATGATTCCTAATCTTTGAGTTCTCCCTCAAAGGCTGGCATGATGTCTAGAAGACAAAGGGAACAGAGGACAGCATGGCCCCCACACATAAACCATGCGTGGAGGGAATTCCCAAGAATGCTTTTGTCCTGCTTCGACCAGCAACCCACCCAGCACTCACCCATCTTCTTGATGTACCAGTTCTTTCCACCTTGAGACCCGTTCCAGTACAGGGCCCCCACCGAGCTCACCAGGGCCATGACCAAGAGGATGCCAAACAACACCAGGATCTGCACATTGGTCACTTTCTCAACATTTGACCTTTTGAGAGGTGCTTTTGTTGAATTCTGCATGAGAGAATTTAAAGTCAGTAAGGATTACAGAAGAGATGTGGGGGCAAGGGGTGGGGACAAACAGAAAAAAGGCAACCAAACTCAACAACTAAAATGTAAAAGACTTTTTTTTTTTTGCCAAATAACCAATGAAATTAAAAAGTGTACTACATTCCTGAATCAACAACTAATTTTAAGAAGACACACTCTACCAGTTTAAAGAACATATTCTAACACTATATGATTCATTCTGTACTTATGATTATATCTTAGCATAAAATTAGACACTCTCATTATGTTAGAACATAATAGGTTCTAAAAAAGTTTAAGTACAGTTTCAAAGAACTCAGAACACTGCTAATTCAAGAGAAACTTAGAGATTCTATACCATAAAAATCTAGAGAGAATCTTCCAAGTGGTAACACAGCTGTCCAATAAATATAAAGAGATTTGTAAAGTGCACATTTTCCCTCCAGTAGCCCAAAATTTGAGAAAGAAGACGTACACACCAATAATGCAAAACAGAATAGATTTGTAAAGTGCACATTTTCCCTCCAGTAGCCCAAAATTTGAGAAAGAAGACGTACACAAACACATACACACCAATAATGCAAAACAGAATGTTAATAGGTATCCAAATAAATGGATGGACAAAAAGTTCTCTTGGAGAACTGTGGACAAGAGATGAGCAGGAAAAGTCAGGAAGGGCCCAGGGACTGGAAAAACCTGAACAGTATCCTAAATCAGATGCAGAACGAAGACAGTAAGCAAACGGAAGGAGGATGGCAGCGTTCCGCGGGCTCAGCATCTGCTTTCTCCCTGCTGCTGGGCACCCGCCCAGCCACAGCCCAGGCCAGTGCTGGGAGGCAGAAAGATTTGCTGAAGCCAGATGCAAGGATCACTGCATTTCAGGTGGAATATTTGCACCTGGATCCTCTCAGCAGTGGAAAAACCAAGAAAGCTGTTTGAGCAAGACACTTACGCACCTGAAGTCGTTTTATTAAAAAATTTCTGAAGGTAGCTGTGGTGGGCAAAATAACAGCCTCCCAATGCTGCCCACATCTTAATCCCTGGACCCCACATATATATATTATTCTATATAGCAAATATATATGAATTATATATAATACGATATGTGCTATTTTATATTTCAAAAGGGATTTTGCAGATGTGGTTAAATTAAGGATTTTGAGATGGGGAGATTATCCTAGATTGCTCAAGTGGTCCCAATCTCGTCACAAGGGTTCTCAAAAGGGAGAGCCTTTCCTGATTGTGGTCAGAGAGAGAGGTGACTACATAGGGATGATCAGAGAGATGCCACGTTGGTGGCTCTGAAGATGCAAGATGCAGGAAGGGCAGCAGGAGCCCAGAAGTGCAGGCAGCCCCAGCAGCCGGAAACAGCGAGGGCCAGACCCCCCAAGCCTGTGGACCAGGACGGCCAGCATCTCGAGCATTAGTCCAGTGAGACCCACACCAGACTTCTGCCCTACAGACTGCAACATAATAACTTGGTCTTGTTTTAAGCCACTAAGACCGTGGAGATTTGTTACAGGAGCCATAGGAACAAACACAGTAAGACAGTGGTGGCTGAAGGAGACGCTGAGGAGACGAAATCCAAGTGGGAATTAATTACAATAAGCCATTCCTGGAGGGAGATAACTCCTGGATTAAATCAGAAGCCAGAACTGGACAGGGAGAGACGGGCACAGAGCTTCTGTCCGCAGGGCTCCTTCCACGAATCATGGTCCTGGCTCGCCAGAGGCGACACTGATTTGCCCAGATCAAGCGATCTGAAAGCCTGTAAGGCACTAAGTGACCATAAGAATGGTGCCTTGTGCCAAACTTAAGCCAGTACTCAATTCATCTGATCACTAAAGGAGCTAAGATGAAAATATCTCTAAAAATAAGAATACAAATAAAGTCCCAATATGATATGAAATGGTGATGAAAATAGGGGGTAACTCACTCCCAAGCTCCACAGAGAAGCTCACACCACAACACCACTGAAATTGTTATCTGGATTCTACCACCAAACCCAGAAATACCACTATCACCTTTGGGGGTGGGGGAGTTAGGGAATTGTCATATTGGTGATTCTGAAAAGCTAAGTCCCTTACATAATCTAAACAACACAGCAGCATTCTCCTTCAATCTTTTTCTTTTTTCACTTTAGTTCTCCAAATTATTCATCTTTTACAAACTTAAAAAAAAAAAACTCCTCTAGAATCCAAATGGAAATCCATTAGTAAAGGCCAACTTATCATCAATCAAATTCCATATAAAGGTCAACTGGAACAACACAGCCACATCTGGTCTCATGGCAAGAGCCAGCAGCCAGTTACGAGATGGTTTATCCTAATATTTTAAAAACTAAAGATGATCTTATCATTTCTAATAAACATTTACTGAAGGGAGAAAAAAATACAATAAACATCATTTCTATGACCCCATTAGTCACTGACTTCTGATCTTTTCCAGTGGTTAAATTCCGGCCAGTTAACAAGGTTAGGAAAATTTATCTTTCATCCAACACAAGAGTAAGAACCCCAGAACTTCAGGCTTCAACATGTGCACTTTGTGGAAGGCCATCCCCTGAACATTTCTATTTGCAATGATGAGCTTTTCATCTTAAATTTCTACTAACATTGTAAGTTCTTCTATAACATTCTTAGAGACCACTGCTACTTTGGTATAACAGAGTTATGAATAGAAACAGGTCAAAATGCAGATTTTGAAAAAGCTGAAATTGGACTGAATCTTACACATCTTATTCCCTCCTGAGAAAGCACATGGTTAGAGCACTTACTCTGGAGCTTGACTGCCTATGTCTGAACACCAGCCCCGTCTCTTATTCGGTTTGTAACCTGAGGTTTCTTAGACACTCTGTCCCTCACTTTCCTCATCTATAAAATGAGAACAATACTACTATCTTCTTGACAGAGCCATTGTGAGGAATAAAGGACTTATATATAATATATATGAATCACTTAGAATAATGCATGATTTGTTGTAATTAATGTTTGCTATAATAAATGTGATAATCTCTCTCCCATTAAATCAACCAACAGAAATCACAGATTGAAACATCTCTACACGTAACTACACTAAGTATGAACTGAGGGAACCTTGAAGGGTAGTTGAGGGGAGAGTTTTAAAAAAAAAAAAAAACTGGAAAGGTAGAAGGAGAGCCCCAAGCAATGGCGCTTCCTCTCTCCGGTCGGTCCAGCAGCACGCACAGCTGGAAACGCTGTTTCACCGACAGGATGGCCTGTGGCTGTGTGTGCTGTGTTACATTCCTTTTGAAAGCTCCTGATTTCCACTTGTTCTTTCAGCCCTAGTGGCCCAGCTAGTCTAGCACAGATGTTTCTGGAGTTTTCCATCATTCTGTACTGGAGCAGTCGATTTCAATAAGCCTTGTCATGTCTTGGGACAAAGAAAAGTGCCTCACACTCACGGGATGCCAACTTCACGAGGTCACTTAGTGCACCTTGCTCACTGAAGAGAGGATGGGAGTGTTAAAGTATAAATTCACTCTTATACCTTAGCTACAACGTTATATTACCAACGTATGACTTAGAAAAACAATATTACACCCTGAAAAAACAGTGTAGAAAGAATCCTGGAGAGTGATTAAATAGGCTCAATCTTGAAACTGGTCTTGGGGGCCTGCCCAAATGTGAGCTAGCTAGCCCTGATCTCTCTGTCACGTCATCACAGCAAACAAGGTACGATCGGTGGTTCGTGGAGCTCCAAAGGCATTCGGCAGTGGCTACTGGCACCAGACCACGGAAGGTGGTGGCTGCTCGCTAGGTGGCAGAGCACTAAACCATTGATCCAGGTAGTCTTTGCATGCAGGCTGCTCACAAACAATAAACCTGAAGCATTCTAATCAGCACCTACGAATGCATAAGGACCTGGCAGGAGGGACAGATGACGTACATCTAAGATACGCTGAGTAATCCTGATCCTCTCACATTCACGAACTATTCACTTTTCTAACTGCCACGGAGCCCTCCTTGCCCTCACCCCAACACACAACCCTGCCACATTCCCCTGTGCCTCAGGCCCTACCCTTCCAGGACCTAAGCTTCCCTATGCCCTCCCCTCTGTCATAGGCTCTCCTGCTCCTTGCCTCACCCAGCTGAGGACATGCCTTTCCTAAAGCCCTCCAGCCCCATTTCCAAGTCGGTGCTCCCACAAAGACTTGCATCCATTGGCACCTACCTGGTGATGCTTCTGAACCTTCATTCCTCCAATGCCATGTTAAAAGATTCGCTGATGAAATTCATACCATTTAGCTACCCGACCTTCTGCCCCTCCCCCACAGCCAGTCCACGGACCCCTCACTCGCTGAAGATGTGACAACTGGCTCCGGGTATTTCCTCTCTGCCCCACCTTGCCATGATCCTATCTTCAAAATCACAGCAGCAACCCATCAAATGCCTTCGTCTCTCAGTTCCTTCCTTCTTAGCACTAATGGCCTTCAACAACCTTCAGCTTCCTACTTCCAGGTCTCACCATGCTATAAACCCTCTGCCCCAGAAACTCAAAGACTAGTATCCAACAAACTGATCAGCCTGTCACTCAGCAACTTGATAATCCCCTTCCACTTCAGTGAGTCTCTCAACAACCCTTCCGTGTCTTCACTGCATTAACTAGCTGGTGTAGCCCAAGGGCCCTATCACTTCATCTGNTTTTTCACTTTAGTTCTCCAAATTATTCATCTTTTACAAACTTAAAAAAAAAAAACTCCTCTAGAATCCAAATGGAAATCCATTAGTAAAGGCCAACTTATCATCAATCAAATTCCATATAAAGGTCAACTGGAACAACACAGCCACATCTGGTCTCATGGCAAGAGCCAGCAGCCAGTTACGAGATGGTTTATCCTAATATTTTAAAAACTAAAGATGATCTTATCATTTCTAATAAACATTTACTGAAGGGAGAAAAAAATACAATAAACATCATTTCTATGACCCCATTAGTCACTGACTTCTGATCTTTTCCAGTGGTTAAATTCCGGCCAGTTAACAAGGTTAGGAAAATTTATCTTTCATCCAACACAAGAGTAAGAACCCCAGAACTTCAGGCTTCAACATGTGCACTTTGTGGAAGGCCATCCCCTGAACATTTCTATTTGCAATGATGAGCTTTTCATCTTAAATTTCTACTAACATTGTAAGTTCTTCTATAACATTCTTAGAGACCACTGCTACTTTGGTATAACAGAGTTATGAATAGAAACAGGTCAAAATGCAGATTTTGAAAAAGCTGAAATTGGACTGAATCTTACACATCTTATTCCCTCCTGAGAAAGCACATGGTTAGAGCACTTACTCTGGACCTTGACTGCCTATGTCTGAACACCAGCCCCATCTCTTATTCGGTTTGTAACCTGAGGTTTCTTAGACACTCTGTCCCTCACTTTCCTCATCTATAAAATGAGAACAATAATAGTATCTTCTTGACAGAGCCATTGTGAGGAATAAAGGACTTATATATAATATATATGAATCACTTAGAATAATGCATGATTTGTTGTAATTAATGTTTGCTATAATAAATGTGATAATCTCTCTCCCATTAAATCAACCAACAGAAATCACAGATTGAAACATCTCTACACGTAACTACACTAAGTATGAACTGAGGGAACCTTGAAGGGTAGTTGAGGGGAGAGTTTTAAAAAAAAAAAAAAAACTGGAAAGGTAGAAGGAGAGCCCCAAGCAATGGCGCTTCCTCTCTCTGGTCTGTCCAGCAGCACAAGCACAGCTGGAAACGCTGTTTCACCGACAGGATGGCCTGTGGCTGTGTGTGCTGTGTTACATTCCTTTTGAAAGCTCCTGATTTCCACTTGTTCTTTCAGCCCTAGTGGCCCAGCTAGTCTAGCACAGATGTTTCTGGAGTTTTCCATCATTCTGTACTGGAGCAGTCGATTTCAATAAGCCTTGTCATGTCTTGGGACAAAGAAAAGTGCCTCACACTCACGGGATGCCAACTTCACGAGGTCACTTAGTGCACCTTGCTCACTGAAGAGAGGATGGGAGTGTTAAAGTATAAATTCACTCTTATACCTTAGCTACAACGTTATATTACCAACGTATGACTTAGAAAAACAATATTACACCCTGAAAAAACAGTGTAGAAAGAATCCTGGAGAGTGATTAAATAGGCTCAATCTTGAAACTGGTCTTGGGGGCCTGCCCAAATGTGAGCTAGCTAGCCCTGATCTCTCTGTCACGTCATCACAGCAAACAAGGTACGATCGGTGGTTCGTGGAGCTCCAAAGGCATTCGGCAGTGGCTACTGGCACCAGACCACGGAAGGTGGTGGCTGCTCGCTAGGTGGCAGAGCACTAAACCATTGATCCAGGTAGTCTTTGCATGCAGGCTGCTCACAAACAATAAACCTGAAGCATTCTAATCAGCCCCATTTCCAAGTCGGTGCTCCCACAAAGACTTGCATCCATTGGCACCTACCTGGTGATGCTTCTGAACCTTCATTCCTCCAATGCCATGTTAAAAGATTCGCTGATGAAATTCATACCATTTAGCTACCCGACCTTCTGCCCCTCCCCCACAGCCAGTCCACGGACCCCTCACTCGCTGAAGATGTGACAACTGGCTCCGGGTATTTCCTCTCTGCCCCACCTTGCCATGATCCTATCTTCAAAATCACAGCAGCAACCCATCAAATGCCTTCGTCTCTCAGTTCCTTCCTTCTTAGCACTAATGGCCTTCAACAACCTTCAGCTTCCTACTTCCAGGTCTCACCATGCTATAAACCCTCTGCCCCAGAAACTCAAAGACTAGTATCCAACAAACTGATCAGCCTGTCACTCAGCAACTTGATAATCCCCTTCCACTTCAGTGAGTCTCTCAACAACCCTTCCGTGTCTTCACTGCATTAACTAGCTGGTGTAGCCCAAGGGCCCTATCACTTCATCTGCTCTAATATTTAACTCTTTCTTCCTACTAACATTTGACCTCAAAGAGTGGATCAACACAGCAGTCTCCCTTCTCCAGCTCAATATCTAAAAATGTGCTTCTGCCCAGGGACGGTTCTCAGTGTCCAGTCAACTGGCACTGCCAAACCTGGATTGGAAGGCCCTTCTACGGACACCCACAGCACTTGGTAATGACACATTACAATAATTATCTCTCCACTTTTTTCGTGTCTGGCAACGGATCGCAACCCTCAGTGTCGCGCCCGTACCGGACCGGGACCGGCAACGGGATTGCAACCCTCAGTGTTGCACCCGCACCTCGCCCAGCCAGTGAGTGGGAACCGGTCTGTATGTGGGATCCGAACCCTCGGCGGGAGCGCCACCACACTCCCAAGCGGCGCACTGTAGCAGTGCGCCACCGGGCCGGCCCGTCACCAAATATTTTTAAATTAAGAGATATAGCCAAATGTGTGCCTTAGAAGTTATACAAAAAAGCCGACGAGCCAATTGTCATTAATAGCAACCATTAGCAAAATAAGATGCCCAGTGATATCAAAGAAATGTAAGAAATGGCACACAGGGACATTGATTTATGTAGAATTTCAAAATCTGTCTGGCAAAACATGTCATACTATAAACACGGGTTGTAAACTCACAAACAATAACTTTTAGAAAACATTAACAGAAAAAAACAGCAAAACCATTTTAACTTAATATTTTTTCTTTGGTATATAAAGAACAAGTATTAGTTCAAAAATAATTGATTTTAAATTGTCTAGAATTCAGTTAAATAAGAAAATTTACTGTAAAATTCTAATTAATGGAGTGAAAAGGACATGTAAAGAGAGAAATTTAAAAATTCAGAACGAATCCCTCCCTTAAGTCCAGAAGACAAAATAAAACTGATTGTCCCCCTAAATCTAGAAAACAAAGAGCATTTATATTTCAGGCAAGAGGTAACAAATATCCAATAAGATAAAAGAAATCCAGAAGAAACTACCTGAGGAACTAAAAAATAGCACTTCTTTTCCAAATTTAGGTTCACAGAGGAATTTGAGTTTCCTAAATGCGAAATCTGCATTTTCCGCCCTCTACTTAATAAAAACAGAATAAATTTTTAAAAAGACTAAAATCAGTATTGTTTTCCAGCATAGAAAATGTTTTACCTGCATGAGTTTGGTGTCGTGTCCAGTATAAACAACTATGCCAAAGACCCACTGAGTATTTCTAAGCTGTGTACCTCTTAGTAAGATCTGGTCAGGCCCAAGGGCAACAGGGCTGAAAACAAGAAACAACATTTACATTTAATGATAGGCTGACGGTGAGCATGAGCTTTCCCCTTAAACAAAAACTCACAATAAATCAAATGTTTCCTTTAGTCAAATTCGAACTATTTTGCTGAGAAACAGGAGCGATACAAGTTTCCCTTGCCTTAATCTACCCCAAAAAAATGACCCACAGAAAAGGTTTATTTTATTCATTCATCCCTGCAGAAAAAGGGTGTTTTTTTCCTATAAAATGTTAAGAGGAAATTATGTTTCTTACAATCCTGTTATGAAACTCAACACTCAAAAGGGAAATTGCTAAAATAACAACCAGAAGCTTATTCATTCGGGAAACCCAGTTTATTTTATAGACTATTATAAGAAAAAGAAAAATAACCAGTAAACCTATCATATCAAATTTGTCAAGGATGACAAACGATTATAAAGACCTCAGTGATACTTAGAAATTCAAAGTGAGAGCGAGTAGAGTGGCTAGATGTGCAGCCACACTTAGTGGATTCTGAGTTGATTCCCATGTTTGGGTCCTTCCAAGCCTGGGGTCTGTTCCAAATATAAACGACGGCCCCACAGGCTGTGGGAGGCATTGGTCAGAGGCCTGCAGATAAAAGATGGGTCAAAGATAGCACCTGCATGCCAACACGGTGACAAAAGATGACTCAAAAAAACAAAGCAAACACCAAGAGGACAAAGACAACAGAATACAGACAACAGGGCACAGAATATTCTGGAGAAAGGGTAATTGTTGGCTTCATTCAGCTTTCTAAGGACACACTAACGCTACTTAGAAGAATGCTAGCAAAAGAATTATTCATTTCTCTAACAAGTGCATTAGCTTGTATAGACCTCCGACACCACTTCTCTGCTATTCTGGACAATTTCGTATGGCTCAAACCATTTCTCCTGCCTGGCAGGTTACAGGCAAAAGAGGAAGAGGCCATGTCCTGTGAACGTCATCTGAGGCCCTCAGGCTCCTTTCCTGTCCAAAATCAGTTCTCTCCTTGAATTTAAGGAAGTTTTAAATTGATTGAAAGGTGCTTCAAGAAAAGCTCATTGCTAAGCTAAACATGAAGAAATCCAACTATTTTAAAATATTAGGAAACTAGAAAACAAACATATTTTTCAAAGCTCCAGAAATTCTTGTTCACACTAAAAAAAAAAAAAAAAAGAAAGAAAGAAAAGGAAAAGTGATACCTTTTCCCATCTAAGTGCAAGTTTCCAGTGAAGTCATAGAGGTGGCGATTGGGCCCTTCACATTCTATAATTCCAGATAACTTCATCAATACCTCCCTTGTTTGCATGTCAGCGGTGAGACTCAGACCCTACAACATTAAACCAAAAGAGAAAATTGAACACAGTCTTCTGTGTTTAAGGACAATATTCAGCATCCCCATCACTAGTCAAAAAGAAATGAGTCACCTACCAAGCAATAATTTGGGGGATCTAAAAATAAATCAAACTATCAGCCCCCTCAAGGCAGACTTTACTAGCAGCTTTTGCCACAATGATCTAATGCAAAAGTGGCAAAAGAATTCAATGAAATTCCACCAGTGTTGAAAACATCCATGATTAAATAATAATTAAATACTCAAACACATTATAGAAAGTGTAATCTATTAGCTGTACTCTAACACTGGTCATAAAAAATATCACGTTAATATTTTATACTATCTAGTGTAAGTTAACTCTTCCTTAAACAGAAAAAAATTAACTAAAGCAAATATCTTCAGTAGAAAAAAAAGATATGTGGACAGAATTAATGAATCAGCTTTGTACAGCAGAAAATTTTAAGTTTCAAAATGCTTAAAATTTTAATATATTAAAGACTATTCTTCACTCTAGAGTTAAAATATATGGTAATAATAGCTTTATGTAAGGCATGGAAATTTTGTAATATGCCACGCTCTAGAATTAGAATGTCAATTACAGCAATGCTGTAAACAGAGGTGACCAGAGCCCATCTATTCCTCGTGCACACCGTGGCTGCCGTCCCCGCCACCCAGCAGCTCCAGACATCCCTCTCTCCAGTGTCACAGGCAGGGAGCTCAGCACGACGCAAGCGAGGGCTCAGGGTTCTCGTGACCCGCAGTGCCACCAGGTCCACTTTTTCTAGCTCTCTTTTCATGCTCAGCAAGTTCCCTTCATAATAAAAGGCATGTTTGTTCCCACAGCTTCCTTCAGGGTGAAGCCATCACTCTAGAAAAGACACTGACTGGTACATATGGAGACCATCGTTGCAATTTGGGCCTCCACAAAAACATAGTCACAAAAGGTCGACCTTACCTGCCGGATTTTCAGGTTTGTCTCCCCGTCTAGATTAGCTGTTTCGACATAACACATTGCCTGAGGTTCACTGAGGAGGGGGGGAAAAAAGGCAAGTTTAGTAAGGTCCTCTGCATAAGCTCGCAGCTCATGCAATCTCTACTACTGAAACTGTCTGCTGATCAGCCCTTCAAAATGAATTGTTATAAACGACCTCGTCAGCAGGAGTAATGGATGAGAAAGGACACGCACTCGTCTTCGGGGCTCCACAGCAATATGGGGTTGTTTGCCCACATGGTCCGCCCTTGTAGGCCCCACATGATGACTATTTGGCCTCGAGCAGACAGGATGACTGAGGATGAAGGGAGGGCAGGGCAGGTCGGAAGCACGCAGTGCTGCAGCTAAGGATGACCGAGGAGGAAGGGAGGGCAGGGCAGGTCATGTGAAGCACGTGGTGCTGCAGCTAAGGCCCCACCACTGCCCCCGGGCTGGGGGAGCTTCACATCTGAGGCCGGGCCCCCCCCCGCCCCGACCCAAAGCACCACCCCGGGCATGGCAGTACTAACTCTACTTTTGAGTAAAATCACAGCCAGAGGAGCTGAAGGATCGAGGGCGTGGCAAGCCTTTGCTTCCCTACAGTTGTTACTATGTCAAAAGGCAACTTTTTAATTAAAACACCTAATTTTAAGGACAGAAACCTCAAAGAATAGAAACAAGCATAACAAGTACTGTACTCCTGCTCCTAACCTTTGGGTTTAGGTCAGCTGGCACAGTGAGTGATCAAGGGAATGGACTGTCCTGTGATGGGGAAGGACATCAAGGGCTGTTGGGAAGGTGAAGCAGGACAATGTTCTCAGCAGGCAGCTCGGCACAAAGTACACACCCAGCACCAAAAGCGAGCATCCAAAAAAACATGATGTCAGCTCACACAAGCAATCCCATTTTAAAACCAAGTGTTCTAAGGGTCACAGCCAACACTCATCCCCCAAACTAGCAAGTGATCAATATTCTAATGTTTCCAAGAGGTTTTCCGGTTACCCATCAGTAGGGACAAACATGAACCCTGCTCCACGCTCACGGTGCCATCCCCTCCACAGGCCTGGGTTCCTACTTTCAAATCTTTTATCTTGAGTAGAAAATTAATGCTAAGGCATAAAATCTAATGAGTGATCAGATCCAATACAAGAAACACTGTCCGCAATCACACAAAACACAAACACTATCTATCATTCTCAACAGCACAGGAACACAGGACGTTACAGTCTTAACGTCATCTAACTTAATCCTGAACTCAAGAAGAGAAGTGTGCTCCTATCCTAATTCTGGTTTTCCTTCTTTGCTATATACTTATGTGCATCAAGCCAAGGAAAAGCCCGGGGCTGTGTTGTCCTCTATGTACACCACTGAGTGACGGCACCTTTCCAGTGCAGAACTACCTGGAGAACACGGCAACAATCCTCAGACAGAAAAGGAGCAAACCCTGGAAGCATGAAGAGCAAACACCACCGCAGGCCCCGTCTACACTCACAGCACACCCTCGGGCAGCAGCACTCTGACCCCTACTCGAGGGCGGTGTGGGTCTGCAGGACGGACTGCTGGCCAGACCCTTCGGGAAACTGGTCTGAGATCTCAGTGTGCTGCATCTTCGATATTACTGAACAAACCACTCCACTGCTCTTGAATCGGTGTCCCTCTTAAATAAGGAGTACACCAGAACAGCCAGGAGACGAAAAGGGAGGCAATACACAGAAAAGTCAGAAAAAGGACAAAGGAACAAATGGAAGAAAGAAAACTCAGTGTCGAGGCAGGAGCAGCAACTGGGGAGCGACGGTGAACGGGAGAGAGAGGAGGTGGCGACTTGCAGGAAAGGTGGCTCGACATTCCTGCAGTCACCACGTAACATGGCATTGCTCTTAACATTTACTTCAAAAAACGTGCCCATGGGCACACCTGACCTGGTGGAGAGCAGGACCATGTCTGCTGGAAGATACTGCCCGTTGATGACCTTCACAATGTCTCCCACTGCCACCTAGAGAACCAGGGACAAGGACAGACAAGCAGAAAAGGAAAGAAAGCACAAACGGTGATAACAGTGGTTAGATATTTGAAGGGAAAATTACTACGTAACTAAGCCACGACATTTAACACAGAGAAGCCTGAATTATTTTCCTTGAAAGAAACAAAAGAAAAACACTTTTATGCAGACAGCTTGTAACATTGCCTTTTTGTGATAATGTTTCATGAAAAAGAAAAGGAGAGGGAGGAAAGGGATGGGTCGAAACAACTGTAGAGATCTCACTTTCCTACAATTAATTACCTGTCCCTTTACAAGTTCTTAAACATCTGCACAGCTGCACATGGCAGGGCAGAGAGGTTAGCACACAGCCCCAGAGCCAGCCTGGATGCCTGGGTTCCAGTCCCCCACTGCACCCCTGACTAGTGTAACCAGGAGCAAGTTAAGAAACTCTGTGTGCATCAATTTTCTTATCTATACAATGAAGATAACAGCATGTATTTCATGGCGTTACTATGAGGATCAACTGAGTTAACACATGGAAATTATTCTGTATTTTACAAATAGGGAAACTGAGGCTTAAAGCGAAATAACTTGACCAAGGTCAAATAGCCAGCGAACATTAGAACCAGGATTCAAAACTGGGCAATCTGACTGGAAGGCCAGTGCTCTGATTAAAATGTTATACTAAATTCTCCCATGAATAGTGCATCTAAAAAGCTCCCCAGAAACAACTTGTAAAACAGAGAAGATTAGTATAACTTCCAGAATATTACCAGAAACATAGTCATGGCCAAAGTCAGAGACCACCTGGGGAAACACACCCCACTGGACAGAGGACCGCAA